ATGCTGGATTACATGCATCGTTTCCAGTGAGTCTCCAGTGTAGGAAAGGCAGGATAACAACCTCTATAGAGAAGTAAATACTATCCATTTGAACGTTTAGTTGACTTAACAGTTAAACGCCATCACCCTCACTGTCGACAGCAGAAAACATAATGAGGAACAAGCCACTCGTCTCCTAATATTTTGAAGTAAACCCTTCACAGTAGGTTTGAAACCTTTTCTTACATGCTATCAGGGGCTGGTGATTTTTAGTTTACACATTTGCAAGACCTCTCGAAGTTGAACACAAGGATTGTCTGCAGGGTGACTGCTTGTCATGTCAGTAAGCCTGGCTTATGTCCCAGCAGGCCGCTGAGGGTCAGTCAGCTCGGACAAAGAGCAGCTTCTGACAGGGACAGAGGGAGGAATGTAAAAGAATGTGCCACATAAGCACAGGGGAGATCCATTCAATGAGCCTGGGTGACATTTTCCTGACTGACCCAGCTCAGGCAACACATTTTCCACACTTAAAAAAAAAACTAAGCCTTATTGCAATTCTGATACAAGCAGTACGGGAAACACAAAAAAAGTTAATACTCTTCCAGGATATTTCTGAGCTATTCGATATAATCCTTCCACCTGAAGCTCTACACTTGAGGATGTAACCCATTCATTGTAATGAGCATTAAATCCCCTCGTGGTTATGTTTGCACGCTCCATTTAGTTCCCATTCCAATATCCTGCACTGTTTCTGCACCCTTCTTTACAAAATGGTAATCAAAGAATACAAATCTTCTCTTTGCTTTTATAAAGGAAATTAAAATAAACTCTTTTGTTTGTTTGTTCTTTAAAGGAACATGCACATTCTGGCATAAGCTTAAAGTAGGGAATGAATATCCTATGAATACAGGTACATATACATTAAAGGAAGAGTGTGTGACATTCTACACATAAATAAAGCAGAAATCAAGTATATCCTCTGTAAATCTCTCTCTGCATCATGACTGTCTACAATGATGGAGAAGCTGCACTATTGGCGGAGCCGTGTTTAAATCATGTTTACTTGGACGGGACGGCCTTGCGTATAAAGCTGTTTTAGTCAAGGACTAGATAAAACAGAATATTTCACATCAGCTAGCTACATATTAAAATCCACCAAAAATCACTATTTCCTATATTTTTTCAAAATGTATCTTTCCTTTGCTGCATGTTGAACCAGATTTCTGCAAATAAGAATGGACTCACAAATATTGATCCATGCATCTTCAGAGGAAACAGCTGGATGCGTGGACAGGCTCTAATGCCCACATGTTTTCAGCTCTTCTTATTGGCTTTTTATGGCTAAAGGCTTTTAGTTAGTGCTCCCTGTGCTGTGCTTTATTACTGGGTCTTCTTAAAAAAAAAGAAGCAACGTATTAAGATTCTGTTAAGCTTCACACCTAATTTATCATGTATCGCAACCAATGTAATATACATTTGGATAATGTATAACTTCCTGCTCTCCATGTAGGGGCTGCTGATGGAATAAAAGAGCCCCCCAACATGTCAAAAGGTTGAAATGATTGATGTTTCCTATTTCAGATATTCATGAAGGACATTCCTTTAACCTTGGAAGTCTCCTTCTTATGAAGCTTGCAAGGCTGATAAACAGCACAGACCTGAAATCTGAGCTTGCATTACAGTAAACATGACAGCATCTCTCATGTTTATGCTAACACATGTATAAGTCATATCGAAGGAGAAGTACATGATTTATTCACCAGTGTTTCTCCATCAGTGCAGACTTAAAGTTATGCAGTAGTAAAGTGCTGGTGAAGCTGATTTTAAAACAACTGGGATTATAAACTCATTAAAGCCTTCTACTTATGTAAAATAAGGCCATATGTGTGTAACAGTTAGAAACTAAACAGTATGATACAGTTGAAGTTTATGTAATGTGTGATACAATTGATCATTAAATATCAGATTTTATTGTTTTAAAGAAGTGATATTGAAAAGGTACTGAAGTATGGAACATGACAACCTTTATACAGTTATTGTCTCGTGTGTTGTCGATGTGTTAAGACAGGCAGATGTCAATCAAAATGTAATTGGTTAAACCCACAGGAGTGAAAAAAATGGTCTGTCAGTGAGCATCAGTGAGCTGATTCAGGTTTTTGTCATATTCAACAGATTTTTTGCAAATACTACGTTAACGTATTTTAATAGTGAATAAAAATGTCTTGCATCAATCATAGTATTATTTTGTTGTAGGGGTTGGATTTTAATGAACTATTCTGACTTTAGTTTATTGCTTCATTTCTTTGTCAAATCTGCACTGTCTACATGTCAGCATCGACCTCTATCTCTTCACCATCCAAGTCTAAAGTTAGAGCTCTGCAGCTCTCTGAATCACCTCATCAACAGTTAGTTAGGTCATGAACACCCTCAGGCTTTGATAATTACGCTGTGACATGTCCTGCTTGGAAACAAGATGACCGTCAAGTGTGGTTTAAAGGCACAGAGACCAATGTGCAATGACACCGGCGATATTCAACACCGAATATGATGGAGCAACAGTGAGGTGCAATATGTCCCTATCGCCCTGATGGCAGAATGAAAGGAGAGGTAAACACACTGAGGGCTAGATTTGGCTCAAAGGAAAGTTTGATCTCCGTTCTTGGACATCCACTGTATTCTCTAGAAACTGTAAAGCATGTTTCATCGTGCCTCCTGAAGGCGTGGATGTGATGTGAAAAGTAAATTAAATTAGACAGTGCTTAAGGTGGAAACAGTGCACCCACCCCTCTATGATGAATGAATGGTGACAGTTGTCTCCAGTGCTGAGTGTTACATGAACTTGTACTGAATTTTGTCTGACAACTGCAGTCAGACGGTAATGCATCAATAACACATTATTACTTTCCTGTCTGGCCCAATCAGCAGTAGCCTACATTTCTCGTGTGTATTTATTTAGAAAATGAGATGCAGAGAGAGAGCGGATTTTAACAGGAAGTCACATCATCCTGGTATGTTTAAAACATGCATTAAAACCTACCAGGAGAGTCTCCTCTTTGGGTTCTGGGCCATAAATAAATAAATCAATTCAATGTGTCTCTAACTTTGATGCCTGACACTCAAACACTAACACACAGACACTTTTAGGCTGAGTACGGAGTGAAAGCCACCCAGTTTCAGCACCACGGACAGAGCCAGAGAGCATGTAGAGTTTGACATTGTTGTTCCATCATGCTCTCAGTTTCAGCACCACGGACAGGGATACAAACTGTTGTAGGGGCTAAGTTCTGCAGGGTTTGACACCACGGGCAAAGTTTGAAGATTTTAAACAAGCAAGATAGTGATTGACATTTGTCCTAAATATAATACATTCCCTTAGTTTCATGGCTGGTTGAATGTGAGAAGAAGATACTACTGTGTGGTTATTAGAAATGGGACAACCCTTGCTTTAAACACAATTGGTTACAACGGTAGTTTACCGTAGAAATAAACATGTTTACAACCTGGTTAAAGAACAAAAAAAAAGAATTTACTCTGAATAGCTTATTTATTTATTGGCACACTAACCCTGTGCGTGTGTGTGTGTGTGTGTGTGTGTGTGTGTGTGTGTGTGTGTGTGTGTGTGTGTGTGGGGAGGGAGTAATACTGAGTTTGGATTTTATGAAGGTTTATGAAGGTATGCATAATAAGGGGTGTGGCTTGTATTTTTAAGTCAGGAGGTTTAAGGCACGCCTCAGCTCTTTCCATGCTACTAAGCTGACCGAAGTTAGTTTCAGACAACGTGGTCCAATATGGCAACCGCCATTGATTGGCTTCAAAAGTCAATCAAACCGGAACTTCAATAGGCTCTTCCAATTAAACTTATCTTTAAGAAAACACAATGTATTCCAAAGACACAAAAGATATCATTTGTGTCATTGGTTGTATGTGCAGTATGTCTTTTTTGTGTTTGCTATGTGACGTCTCTGATTTGCATTGGATGTGTGCTTTTTAAAATTGTTTTCTGTATCTCGTTCACGATTGTTGAAATAACTGTTTGTTTCTTGTATTCCTTTATTTCAATCATCAATGTAAAGCACGTTCAGCTGACTTATATGAAATGTGCTTTATAAATAAAATCTCTATTCTATGTATTGTTTTCTAGATTTCATCACCTCGGCCAATGAGTTTTAAAATGTTTATCTCTGTCTAATGCATTAAGCAAAGATTGTGTTGTTAACAGTTACTTCAAACTCTTTCAGTTTGCATAGTAACCTATTGGGGTGTACATCAGTTGTATTCAATCCCCATGATGTATTTGCACTATTATCAGCCCTAAGGCAAAAAACAAATACATGTTTAGTCGGCATAAAGTACAATAGTGCAGCAGAACGGAGCATGACAATAAAGCAGCAGGACAACAGTTAAAATCTGGAATAATAGTTGATGGTTAGGCAGTAGGATTATCTGCTTATCATAACCATGGAGGCCAGGAAGATGCATAAACACAAAGGGACATGTGCAGTGAAGTAGTAGTCATTGCACTAATGTGAAAGTAGCAGTGACAAAATAGTGTAATATGATGTATAATAATGTATTTGTATGACTGTACAAGTTGAAAACATTTAGGCAGTGTTTAGAACTGAACAGAGAACTCTGATTTTGTGAATTGTAACATTGTATCATTTTTGATAGATATGTTTGGTTTTCATTGGACTAGACTCCCTCAATTCCAGCACCATGGACAGGTCTGGTCATGCCCGTTGTTTTATTACTTTGCTACGTTTTGTTTCGTTTCAGGACCTCGGGCAGCACCTGGCTGAGGCGTGATTGTGTCGCCTAATTGAAGCACCATGGACAGCGCTCACATGTCATCACGTATGATCGTGCTCTTAGTTTTGCTCTGGACGTGCTGCACGCTCTCACTTTCAGCACCACGGACAGCGTCGCGTTTCTCTTCATTGTTACACGCATATACCGGTGACCACCCCCACTCTAATAACCCAACACGCCTCCCCCTCATTGCTCATAAGAGTACAGGAACGTGCAGTGTATGAGAGCCAAAGCCTCCGCTCTTCTTCTTCTTCTTCTTCTTGAATGAAACGAAAGCATGTGTGGTTGCTGACACTGGCGCGAGCTCTGCATCTTTAAAACAGGAAGGGGGGAAAAAAAAGCGGAGGGAAAACACACAAGCAGCTCAGTCATAACTGTGGGATGAGAAGGACTACCTCTTTTTACTTTTGGAGAGAGCCAAGCCGTTAGGAGAGCATTCAGCATCAGCTGTTCGACACTGGTCTCTCATTGCTGGAAGTCGGGGCTGAATGAGTCACATGACAGAACTGGAGGCTGAGATCTAGAGAAAAGGCACAGCATTTCGGCTCGCACCGCCATACTGTATTTTGAGCCATATCACATTTTTATTGCAACATTTTACTCCCGCTCGGTGAGTACATTTCCAATGGCTTTTTTGTAAGCATTTTTTGTCTTTTTAATTGCCCCCCTTTTTTTATTTTTCCTCCTTTTGCTGGTGTTTGAATTGAGCATTGACATGGTGGTTTTGAGCGTTTTTCACATCCAGGCTTCAAGTTTTTAGCATGCAGTTATTCTGATCCAGAGTGCCAAGAGGGTAAAAAAAAAAAAAAAAAAAGCCAGATCGGTCTTGAGCAAAGCCTTGACTTGGTTGCAGTTTTGTTTCGAGGGTCGAAACCAAGCAGCTTTTGTCAGTATTGAGATTTTTCACACATTTATTGGTGGTTTTGAAACATTTTTGTTTTTTTTGTTTTCTGTCGACTTTTGCTGTTGCTATGCTTTGGTTTGCATTTTGCAGTGTTGTTTGTTGCCTTCGAGTTTTGTGATTTTGGTGTCTCGGTGGAATCTCACCGATCCAACCCTTGCTTTTACTTTGGTCCTCTTTTCTCCTTTTTAAAGACGTTTTAACGTGATACTTTTCTTGCAGCTGAGCTCACAGGTTTGTTGTTTTTGTGTTTCTCTCTTTTTTCGATTTCGTTATACTTTTGCTGGTGGCAGTGTCAAGTATTTTTGGATGTTATCGTTTTTGTTTTTTTTGACTAGATGATGCTGGGTGGACGAGGGGAGTTTTGATTCTTGGTGGAGTTCAATGCGTTTTTGTTTTCTGTTTCAACGAGGATGAACAGACATTTTCCCTTCTGCAGGTATACATAATACATGAGTGGATAAGTTCTGTGTTTACAATAAAGAATGAGGTGACAGAAATATGCACCTGTGGCTGACGTGTTATTTCGCAAGGCTGGCCAGATTGCTTATCGGTGAAGGCTTTCTTTTTATCAATGTTATCTGAAGGTTACCTGATCTGATCGATCCGTACGAGACAAAAAATAACGAGACGTGATCAAGAATTGAAGAAGGAGGATTGGGAATCACGCACATGTCGCTTGATCACAGTGTGTTCTTTGTTTTTGAGTTCAACAATCTTCACGCCGTCGCAGCTGAGGAAAAGATGTAAGTAGCTGCATTCGGGTCCCTCGGAAGGATGCACTGTAACGATCTCCTACATGTAAAGTATCCAAACTCAACGCATATGTCGACTTAAAGGGGCAGAAATCACACATTCCTTTTCCTGCAAAGTAGGTGAAAAAAATAATTAGGATGACCACAGTTTGCACGATTATATGTCAATGTGCAGAGTACAATGCTACACTTAAGTGCCCTCCTTATTTCTGCACAAACTCAAATCGGCTTTCAGCAGGCCCTGCACTCAAATACTCCTGGATTTGTAGCATCTGATTTTGCAGAACATGAATAGAGCCACTGAAAGAGGACTTAGAGTGAATTAATCCTACAAGAGGCAGGTTTAACTTCAGATTATTGGTGTGCTGCTGCACGAACCACAAACATAACTAAATCATGCAGACTGAGAGGAGAGCATGGCTACTGGAGGTATTTTTGCTGTGCTTTTAACGTCACTGTGTGTCCCTAAGTTTAGTCTCACAGGAGTCAAAGCTGCTCAACAGAGACCCATAAACCTTATTCCACTTTTCTTGACTATTCCTGAACCCCTATTATGTGCAATCTTAAAGGAGTTTAGTGTGTGCAACATAAACTTTCCTTAATTTTTGATCCATATGTATACAGTCTAAGAATACACAGGTTCATTCAGTGCAACATTATAGGCCTATAAAATACATCAGTAGATCATTAAGTCTGCGATCAGACTGTTAAGTCCCAGTGTCAGTTAACAAGCTGATAAAGCAGCTCAGAATCTGCTATTTAAAGTGCTGTAATAGAATATTGATAAACATTGCACCCTGAACTAGGGAGGTAAACTTTAGCAGTTAAGATAGTACATTCTTTTCTGTATTGAAGAAGTCGTTATCGTGTATTGATTTCCCTGCGCCCTGTTTAAATCCATACAGGCCATAAAGTAAATGTAGGGGAAAAGCCTCAGGGAAATTTGAATGGCTTTGGAGTTGTGAGACGTTTCAGAAACAGCACAGCCCTGTAGTTCAACGTATAAAAACAAACATCCGTCATGGTCTTTGCATCTAATTTTTGGCTTGCACACAAGACCCTCAGGGTCAGAGTTGTCATTAATAGGTTCACACGTGTAGTAATGAGAGGATTGATGCAACAAATCTATATCAACAAATCAAATTAAAGCAACCTGATCCATAATTATATCTATACTTTTTCACTCTACGTTGCAATATTGTATTCTTCTACACTTGCTGTCTATGTGTGAACATTTTAATATACCTTTGTATCCATAGGTCTGTATGTTGTGGGTTTAGTTTAGGGTTTAGGTGTCTGTGATACCTTTATCAAACATTTCATTGTTTAAAGGTTTTAGTAGAGTATGTCACTTGGGGAGTAGTAAAAAAAAAAACTGAGTCAAATTCCTTGTATGTGCAAACACACCACCCAATTAAACTGATTCTGATTCTAAACCCAACAGTTTGATTCTGCAGCAAATATTTGATGCTTTAAATCTGATTGCCACCCAAAAAAAAGGTGCAAATGCAAAAAAAAAAACTGCCTCCAGGAAAACAATTAATTATCCAACTTTGGGGCTGCAAAATGACTTTTATTGTCAAGCTTTTTATTTTGAGTCTTTAACTACAGCTTTATAATTTGTAAAGATGTTTTCAGCGACTTCTTCAGTGACTTTCTTTCTGTTTATATTGACCCAAAAGCATTTGCTGTATTCAGTTAAACCAAGGATTCTACTGCACGTTAGTTGTTTGTAAATGAATAACACATTAGTCACATTTCTAAAATCCTCTTAATGGCAGCAAACCTTCACTCCAGATTTGTTGAAACATTTAGATTCCTGCCTTCCAAATCTCCAATCACAGCATCCCGACACATGGACATGTCTGAACGCTTCTAGTCGAGAGGTGTTACTGTCGGTACGAGCTGCTGGACAAGCCTCCTGCTAAGCCTTATGATAGCTTCTATCACGTCCTGCGGTGTTGTGTCTCCCCTCCAGGCAGGTTCCCTGTTATCTGGGCCGAGCCAGAGCTGCACCGGAGACTTAGGAGGAAATATGATAGCTCCTGAATGGATATACCTCTGCAAGCATGAATAAAACATCACGCAGGAGCAGCTTGTACACACCGAGCATGTGCTTAACCAGGGGATGTGTGTGCACGCTCGTTGGTGTGAAGCAACAGTTCAATGAATTCAGACGTAATTAATGAGTTGATTACATATTTTATACATATGTTGTGTAGTTTGAAAGGGACATGGATTCAGTAGAACTTGGTATGAACACTGTTACAAACATTTTACAAGCAAAGATGCAACTTTTGTCGTATTTTTTAACGAGCTTCACCTTCGTCCTGCTTGTTTCCCTCGGTGTTACTTCAGATTTACTGCATACATTACAATCAAACTGTCAGCAGCTCAACAATGTGTGGAATAAAAGCCCAAACAAATCTGAGTTCCTGCTCACATTCAGTTTGTATTCCCCTTTTCCCCTTTTTTAAGACATTGGCAGGGAGTCTGAGAGAAGTTTGAAGCTGCATAAGGCTTTAGTCGTTGTATTGTGCGTCTTGTTCTATAAAAGCCCAAAAGTACTTGAAAGTTTGATTATGAATTCACTTTATGACCCGACGTGAACCGAGAGTGCGGCAGCTGCAAACTCAATCAAAGGTTTTAACTCAGACTTTTGAAAAAGTTCTTACTTAACAGTGAAAGCTCTCGCTCGGTTTAAATTTTCTTTTTTTAATCCCACTTAAACCCACTGTTTTTTTAATCCATCACTCAAACATAACTCATCTAAAGGGAGGAGGTTTAGTGCTGGAAGTGTCGCTAGTGCTGTGAGCATCAAAAGGTTTACAAAAAAAAAGGGAAGTGAATTCCATTTTCTATATTTAACAAATCCATGCTTGTAATTAAGCTTTCTATGATAATTGTATCGTAAAAAAACATATAATTTTACTGTAAAACATAAATCACTGTATTATTAATGCACTGTTTCAACTTAAAATCCTTTTAAGCGTCCTTGACTGAGACCTGTTACTTCACCATAACAGGTCCATAACACCATACTGAATATTTAAATCAGGAGAGACTTAATACTAGTTTAGAATTATTTATTCAACAATTAAGGAAAAGATAAATGTGGAATGTCTTTGGCTATTAAACTCCGTCATGATGTCTTCATGCACTGGGCTCCTGTCCGACAGGGTTTAGAACCAGCAACCTTCCTTGCTGTTAGGCGAGCTAACCATTGCGCCACCATGCAGCAGTTATGTAAATTTTCTTGAGGAGGGAAGTAACCTTTATTTCCCCATCAAACCTCTGCTCACTGACTCATGTAGCCTGAGAGACAAAATCCAGGGCACATGGAGTATAAACTTATAAAGGCTTTATTCTTGAGTGCAGAAAGTTCAACTGAAGGTGATTTAGATGAGTATTTTACATTTTTAATTAAATGTGAAGGCTGTACACTCATGGGCGGCCATGTCTAAATGACCTGATGGTTAAATTAAAACAGGCATGCATGTCATTTTAAACTCTCTAAATGAAGCCATGTTTTCTCCTCCCTTTAACAGACAAACATCTTACCTTTGACGCAACTCGTTCCACATGAAGGAGTACTTCACTGTCCTTTTCTGAGTTGTTAATTTGATGTGAAGGGATCTCACACTTAATATTCTGGACAATTAAGCCCATATCTGAAGATCAGGGTCAGGGCTGAACGACTTTCCAGTGTCTATTATGGGAACGGTTTGAGTTATAGAGCATCACTTAAATGAGCTGCCTGAGCCAACATGCTCAGACTCAGATTGTTTGTTTGGCGTTCCAGGAGAGAGTCTCATTTCAGTTTGATCTCAGTAACATTTGGTGATAAAGGTTGAGAGTCTTTGTAACTTGATTCAGGGAAGGTATTTGACCTGACACACCAAGGAGATCGATTGTCGCCCTTGTCTCCCCCCCCCCCCGTCTGCCTTTTTTCAGCCAATTTGACATGTCGGTCGGCGCGGTTGGTGAGAGGAATCACTCCGATTGGCTCTTCAGCTAAGCGAATCAGTGCACAAGAAGAAAAAACGGAAGTGAAGACAGCCAGTAATGGACATCCAGGGAGTGTGACATGTCCCACTGGAAGGTCAGGGAGTGTGTAAAAGTATTTATTCAATTCAAAGGACAATGTACACATTACATGGTTTGTACAAAGAGCACAGATGATACTAGAACAAGATGAATGATGAATCCATTGAAAACAGTTAAATATTTCTGTGCTGAGAGCAGGCTGTGACGGCTTCTCAGTGGCCCTAACATGTCAGCTGATCTTAGATATAGCCTCTGATTGGTCAACAGGATGGTAGCATCCACCTAGCCGAGTGAGCTAACAACAGAAATTCCACTATTCCACTAAAATGTATACATAGATCATCATGGATTACCTTCGTTTTTGGGCGGATTTGCTCGGGACAATCTCAGATCTTGTCGGAGGGATAGAAAAGCTTCTGGATGTGGCAGAAACAAACGGTATCCATCACCGAAAAAGCTGCTGATCACTTGAAGGGAGTGGAGTTTACAGTAAGTCGCTACGTAGCACGGCCCTTTTTTCAGAGCAGAGTTTGTAGACGGTTGACGTACAGACGTCAGCGTCAAAGCAACTGGAGCATCCACATTTTCACAATTGTCTCTCTGTTCTCCCTCCACACAAACGCCGGTGTCCGCCATT